ACTCAACCATTAAGCATATGGGCTATTTTTATTTCGAGTTCGAGCTAACACTCACTCGATCATTACACCTACGGGCTACACTACTTCGAGTTCAAGCACACTCACTCGACCATTAAGCCTACAGACTACTTTTATTTCGAGTTCGAGCTAACACTCACTCGACCATTAAGCCTACAGACTACTTTTATTTCGAGTTCGAGCTAACACTCACTCGACCATTACGCCTACGGGCTATACTACTTCGAGTTTGAATCATTCAATCGACTAAGCCTACGTGCTACTTTTATTTCGAGTTCGATCTAACACTCACTCGACCATTACACCTACGGGCTACACTACTTCGAGTTTGAATCATTCACTCGACTAAGCCTACAGGCTTTTTTATTTCGAGTTCGAGCACACTCACTCGACCATTAAGCCTACGGGCTATTTTTATTTTCGAGTTCGAGCACACTCACTCGACCATTAAGCCTACGGGCTGCTTTTATTTCGAGTTCGAGCTAACACTCACTCGACCATTACACCTACGGGCTATACACTACTTCGAGTTCGAGCATACTCACTCGACCATTAAGCCTACATGCTACTTTTATTTCGAGTTCGATCTAACAATCACTCGACCATTACGCCTACGAGCTACACTACTTCGAGTTTGAATCATTCACTCGACTAAGCCTACATGCTCTTTTATTTTGAGTTCGAGCACACTCACTCAACCATTAAGCCTACAGGCTCTTTTCTTTCGAGTTCGAGCACACTCACTCGACCATTAAGCCTACAGGCTACTTTTATTTCGAGTTCGAGCTAATACTCACTCGACCATTACGCCTACGGTCTACACTACTTCGAGTTCGAATCGCTCACTCCATTAAGCCTACGGGCTATTTTTTTGAGTTATAGAAAACACTCACTCGACCATTACGCCTACGGGCTATGTTTCTTCAAGATCGAACCATTGACAACTAATAAGCCTAAAGGCTGCATCGCTCCAAGTTTCAGTAAATGCTCGCTCGGTTGCAGAGGCTACGAAGTCCAAATTTGATCCAGTTGTTTAAATCATTATGAAAACATTCATAAGGCGTGAGTAAAGTCCTCACAAGACAGGAAACAAAAACGGAAGCAAGTCGGCAAAAAGGGAGATATGTCTACATACAAATTTATCTACATTACAACGTAAACACTAAGAACTAAACTTCTCGGCCAGAAGCGATCTCTTCTTTATCAGCCCCCCTATTTTCGGATCCGCTCTTGCTCCCATCGTCATCGTCATCGCCATCAGAAACCAGAGCTTCAGTATCGGCTTCGAGTTCTTTCGCCCTTTTATCTCTTCAGCGAGATCGAAGCCACGAACGTGGATCTCCTCGAGAGTTTCCCTTCTGGATCGGCACTTAGCAAGTTCGGCGACCCAATGCACTCGAATATCGGCGGACTCAGCTTCCTCTCTTGCCTGGACTTGAGCAGCTTTAGCATCAGCCCAATAGACGGCCACAAGTGCATCCACATCGACCTTTGCCTTTTCGACATCAGATTTGGCCTTGGCAAGTACAGAGGCCAATCGAGCCTCAAGCTCCTCAATTCTTCTTGCTTGAACCAGGCCTTTATCCTTCATTTTCTGAAGTTGGGTTTCAGACGATGATAACTAGGCTCGAGTAGTCTCTTTTTCCGCAGCAAAGCGGTCCATACCTTCTTTCCACCGCAAAGACTCCGTTCTTATCACGTCGACCTCCTCACGAAGCTTCCCGATCATCTCGATTTTTTGCTGCAGCTGTGAGACCGAAATGTTAGCTATCGTTCCGGTATCAAGCCCATAGGCTTTCAAAAACATCATTACCTGCTCAGACAAATCGGTCTGATCTCGATAAGCCTTGGCCAGCTTAACTCGGAGGTCTTTTATTTCATCCTCTCTCTGCCCTAGGGAAAGTCTAAGAGAGTTCCTCTCGTCAGTAGCCCATTGAAGGTTGGCCGCGTATCGATGCAGCTCATTCTGGGATCGAGAACATTGTTCTCGATGAACTGCCGCTGCCTACAAAGAAACAAGAAGTGGAGTTAACGAAAAACGAACATAAAGATAGTACCGACAAAATAATTTTAAAAGCTCACCTGATTCAAAGCTTGCCGCAATCCATGAAAAAGATCCCATTCATCACCAGCACCGGCAATGTCCTCAATGCCGGTAAACAGGTCACGAAAGGGATCTTCTTCATTGTGAGGCATGTCTAGATCGAGGGCTCCCAGAGCTTGAACTTCCCGAATTACCCTTGCGGAAAAGGTGGGAATGATAGGCGAGTCCTCGATTGCTGCTGCCCCAAATGAATCGCCTGGAGCGTCCTCCTCGGTTCGAAGGGGTTCGAGGGCCTCTTCGGTCATATCCCCTGCCGGTTGACTCTGATGAGATGCGTTTTCGATATCCGATAGTTCGGGGACTCTACCCGAATCCTTCTCTGGTATACCTTCAGTTCGAGGCAGAGCCTCATGGAGCATCATCGATCTAGCCGGCGATGCATCGGTGGTTCTCTTTGTTCGGACCGCCAGCGCGGACTCATCGTTCTCTTCTTCTGTTTCTTCATCTTCATCCCTTAGACGCAGAACGGATTCCACGGTTAAAGGGATGACATTCTTGTTTGGCTTACGAGCCGTCCTCTTCTTCGATTTTGGGTCTTCGGGAACCGAGGCTCTTTTCCTTTTATTTTTCTTCATCGGCTTTGGGACAGAGGCCGAAATTTCCTCCTCATTGGACAAGGGCCTCAAAACCGCGTCTTTACCCAAACCTGCATATGGAAAACCTTAATAAATTATTTTGAAAACCACCTCGTTCGGATCATCAAAGAGTCTGAGAAATGAGCTTACCGTGATTTTTGGCCTCCCACCGACCCTTTAACAAATCACTCCATGAGCGCTCGACGTATGTGGAGGTCGAAACAAGGGCTCGTACCCAGTTCTTGAGATCGGGGATTGCTCCGAGCATCCAGGGAACTGCTACATCAAAAAAAAAAGGAAGGGGGAGTGTCGATGAGAGAATAAATGAAAGAAGAAAATAGAAGTAACAGCAAGATCACACTTACGTTTCATATTCCACTCCTCGGGAAAGGGCATCTTTTCTGTCGAGATCAGGTCCGAAGTCCTTACTCGAACGAACCTTCCCATCCAACCCCGATCCCTATCATCGTCAATACTCAAGAACAGAGCCTTGGTAGCCCGACGCTAGAGTTTTTTAACCCCCTCGAAAAAGTCGAGGATTGTACAATCGGATAAGATGATCGAGGGTGAATGGCATCCCCTCGATCTTGCTCACAAAATATCGGATCAGGATAACGATCCGCCACAAAAAAGGATGGACCTGGCCTAGGGTTACTTGGTATTGTCGACAGAAGTCAATAATAACAGAATCAAGGGGACCCAAAGTGAAAGGGTAAGTATACACATTGAAAAACAACCCTTTCACGTAAGAAGTGATATCTTCGTCGGACGTAGGAATTATTATTTCTTTCTCACCCCAATTGCAATCTTTCTTTAGCTGTTCGAGGTGCTTTTCGGTTATCGAACACATGTACCTCGATACAGGCTCACACCGGCCAGGGACCGATGAACCTTTATCGACCTTAAAATCTGAAGTAAGGACACACGTCCCGGGAACACACTCCTCAGGCCGTGGTTCTGCCGGTGTCTCATCGGCTGCACATTGTGAAGATGAAGCTTTCTCTTTCTGAGGAATGGTTTGCGATGTTTTCGCCATTTTAGAATTCAAAGGTGGGGAGTAGAAGAAAGGGACAAAGATTTGGTAGAATTGAAGAGGGATTTTTGCGGAAAGAAATCACAGATTTACTGGTAAGATGAAGAGTACGAAGAAGAACTTGGAAAATTTGGAAGATAGAAGATGTAAAAATGATAAAAGATAAAAGAAAGGGTTATTTATAGGTCCAAACGATGGCGGTTCAATATCAACAGTGGCCGACCACCGTCTGACATGCGTCAAATGCCTCAAAAGACTAAATCGATGTGACAGCTACCAGATGCGTCATGGTCGAACCCGATGGAAATGACAGGATATAATTTGATCGAGCTGCTAAAAAATCATATCGTTTCTCTCCACATTCTTTCTAAGAAACGAGGGGACTATCTGTATACGGTCGAAATAGGTTTCGGCCTTAGCACGTCCGATCGAGTTCAAACGATGATTCATCAAAGTGAGATCCCGAAGGAGGAATAAACTATCCTCGAACTTGGGGAGACCGATCCGTGTCAAGTTCGATATCATTACCGAGCTCGAATCAAAATCAAACCATGATGCAGAGTAGATCTACCATGCTGATAATCCAGAGACCAACCGACATTGACCTCGAATCAATTCGAGGGCTCTAGCCAGGATCGGGCTCGAATCAAGATCATGAGTTCGAGCCGAAATCAAGCTCAAACCAAAATCGAGGGTTCTAAGCAAGATCGAGCTCACAGATAAAAGCCGTTGCAATCTTACTAGAGAGAATCTTGGCAGAATTATGGAAAAGCTGACTTATCATGGGACTCCCACTGAATGTTTATTTTATTATGCTTAGAGCCAAATCCCTCCACTATAAAAGGGCTTGGTTACTATTTCTGTAGGTCAAGTTTTTCAGGCTTACATTGTAATAAAAGTGGTATATTCTTCTACAGTAAAAAATTGTTCATTCAGATTTCTTACATTGATTCTATTTGTTGAATCCCAAGACTCTTTGTTCCTGACAACTTACCTATTTCGCATTCTCTCGAATCTATATATACATTTCTATTGATCCTTACATTTTGTGTCAAGTTACGCCACATATTCTCGGAACTGCGTATAAATTCAACTCTATCCATTTTTCGGGTAAACACTCATATAATACATAGTATATAATAGAAAAGATTATTTAGGTTATTAGTGTATAATTTAAATTTTAAACCCATAGGAAAATGAGTGCTTTTGTATAGTTTTATTAAAGTTTGAAGTTTAGTGTGTAAGGAATAGAAATAACTCTGGCATTATCAAATTAAGAAAAGGCGACCATCTCTTGACTCCTGAGTAAAAGGGACTGTTAGTAGAAAAGGACCAATTGGAAGGTAAATAAGCATAGAAAGATGGATCCTCCTCCTCATACGCAGACAACAGAAGTGCCGACTAGTTGGCGAGGTGCTAAATTTGTTTGGCGTGCTGTTCTCATCTTCAATCTCGGCCTCGGAGGTAAAACAATACCTCCACCCAATATCTCTCTCTGAACTCCTTCGGCTGCAATTTGTATATGATATTGTTGATTCATAAGTTTCTAGCCTTTCTATTTGAATGTTGGAACTGGGTTTTGGATTATAATTTAGGGTTTTGACGTTTTGCTACTTGAAATTGTTATGCACTGTGCAAAGTATGGCACAGTTTTCTAGAGCTTAAATGCTTTTTTGGTCTTTTGATATGTAGCTAATCTGCTTGTTAGCACGACAAATGAAAGAATCTGAGTAGAGTTTTTACTTTTTTTGTTGCATTTTATTGTGTGTAACATGTATTGGAGGATAAATAAGCATGGTAATATTTGATTTTGTATGAAGATTCTTGCCTTGTGGAGACCTATGTTTTATGACTTGGGAGATTGAAAGTTGACAAGCCCCAAGTGTTGCTGATTTCAGTTAAATTATGATCCTTTGTTTGTAAATACAGATTCTGACAAAGTAGTTTGGATGGAATAGTTGCTTCACTGGTCACTTTAAGTTCCTCTTTGTGCTTGTAAATATAAATGATTTCTTCGCGATGAATGTTGCAGATTTAGAAATTGTTGGTGTTTCTGTTAAACTTTAATCTTACTATTGTCAATTAGGAACGGCATAGATGCTCTGGTCAGGAGGTGTGAAGGGTTGTCTATGGCGGATTTGAGGAAGGGAAGGGGTAGCCCTAAGAAGTATTGGGGAGAGGTAGTTAGGCAAGACATGTCATTGCTCCAGCTTACCGAGGATATGACCCGCGATAGAAAGGTGTGGAGGTCGAGGATTAGGGTTGTAGGTTGACAGATAGTAGTGTGTTCCTCCTAGGCTTACCAGTAGAACTAGGACAATTTTTATATTATCTTATTCATGGTTCTTTACTATTATTTGTTGTGTCATTCGTACCGTTACCATAATACATTGTTGTTACTATTGCTTGCTACTTGTTGCTTTATCTCCATTGTTCCTTGAGCCGAGGGTTTATCGGAAACAACCTCTCTATCTCTATAAGATAGGAGTAAGGTGTGCGTACACACTACCCTCCCCAGACCCCATTTATGGAATGAGAATACACTGGGTTTGTTGTTGTTGTTGTATTGTCAATTATTTTTTCCCCCTAAATCCTGGAGTTGAGATATACCTGTGATTTTGCTAGACATATCGTCTTCAATTCTTCGTGTTTCTCTTTCTTGTCTCTGTGGAAACATGTGTTTCATTGGGTACTTGATTCAATGATCAGAGATAGATAACGATTGAGCTAGCTGTTAGGTCTGCTCCTATTATTATTGATGCAAATAAGGTCTTGCCTAATACCGTGTGCAAGAGAGACATGCAACATTTAATCAAGGAAGAGGAGGTGATGGCCCGAACTATCAATAAAAATATTTTCAATGGATAAACTAGACAACAATACTTAGCTAGCGTTTGGCCATAGATTCCCAAATTTGTTCTGAAAAATCTGATTTGGGTGAAGTTTGATTTGAAGATGAAAATGTGTTTGGACATCAGTTTTCAAAACATATTTCCCAAATTTATTTTGGAAAAACATGAAACATGACTTATACCCACAAGTTCTAAAAGCTATCACAAATACCCAACAGTACCATTATCAATAACATTCATTATATTATCGCAAACCATTTTGAACATAAATAAATTTGATACAAAATTATCATTTTTATAATGAACTACATGATACACTATCAGGTGATCGAGAAGACGAATTAACATTGTTACAAAATAATAAATGGTGGGCTCTTTTATAAAATACAAAAGTTTGGGGCAATTTTTAAAAAATATAATAGTGATATTTTGGCCCAAAACCAGCTATTGAGCTGGTTTTGGAATTTGGGATTTGAGATTTGGAATTTTGCCAAAATATAGGCAAAATCTATGGCCAAAAATGTGTTTGCCAAATAAAACCCAAATTTATTTTAGCAAAATCTATGGCCAAACGGGTCCTTATTGGTTCTATTTGCCGTCGGGCAATGTGTTACCCTGCAGAGAGTCACAATCCTAGTGAAAATTTAGCTGCTCATGCTTAAACTAGAAGAAACAGGAGAAGAAATGATAATTAAACCCATATTGATCATTAAAATGATGAAATCAATATTCAAAAAGCTCAAAACAACAAAAGCTACTAAAAAGAGTAAAAGAAACTGTCTACTGTAGCAGCTGATGTCAAAAGTTGACCTAAAAAAGTGAAACTCTTCTATTTATACAAAGCTGGAAATTTTGGACAAAAATACCCTTTCAGAGGTTCTTCGGCCGCACAATTCCATGTGCGGTATGCACTTTGCTTCAACTTGAAAAGGTTGGAAATCTGTGGTCGCATAATAATGAAGTACGGCCGCACTGCCCTCTTTCTGCGGTCCACACGATAATGTCTGCGGCCACACTTTATTCTTCTGCGGTCTGCACATGGAATTATGCGGCCGCGTAGCTCTTCTTCTGCGGCCGCACAATAATTGTGCGGTCCGCACTTGTGTTGTTGGAGGTGCAGGTTCTCTGAACTTTTTCTCTGACTCAGCTTCTGCGGCCGCACAATTCGTGTGCGGTCCGTATCTTGCAACATTCTACGATGGAATTGCTTTACGACCTGCGACCGCAGATGATTTTCTGCGGTCCGCACTTTGAGCTTTTGTGCCTGTTTTTGTTCTTGAGTTCAGATTACTCCTTCTTGAGCTGGATTTCATCTCGGGAGCTCATCTTCCAATATTCCTGCAATTAAGTACATTTCATAAGTTTTCGGGAACACAATTAAGCGCTTTGGACTAAAACGAAAGGTAAAAGGCGCTAATAAGTAGTCAAAATCCCCACTTATCACCGACCACCATCGGTCAGAATTTGCGACCGACTTCGATCGCTACACGTTAGCGACCACTCTTTTTTCGACGAATTAAAGTCAGTCGGAAATCAGTCGGTTTTCCTTGCATTCTGGCCGATTACGATCGGTATTCTTGGACGCTTTTTTGCAGTTTTCTAGTAGTGTCATCGTAAACCATAAGAAACAAAGTCTGATAAATGATAATTATGTAAATGACAGTGGCTATTTCATCTGACTAAATCAAATAGGAGAAAATAAACAACCTCCATAATACTACAAACCAAAAATTAACATGTACCTAAATATCTATTAAAAGTGCATTATCTCTACTAGTTTAAAATTTTAAATAAGATAATATAAACTGTCAAACAAGGTATGTATTTGTCGACATAGACAACGTGTTTGGAGTTTTACTACCACCTATCGGCGAAATATCTCATCTCTATAGTTGTTTAAACTTATAGTAGCTCATTGTGTAACAAATATCCAAATCAAAATTAAATAGTTGACGATATTATATATGTTTATCATTTTGCCATGAGAGATTTGACGTCCAAATTGATTTTTCGGCCGCATAAGTTATAAACTTATAGTATTAACTATATGGATGCATGATTTCTAGGGGTCATAGATCTGAGTAAAACAAATTATATAATCAAATAAATTTTCTCTTTGAAGCATGCTCATGATCTTTTCTTAATCTCGTTCATCCTCTCTCTCAGTTTGCATTTGAAAGTACAAGTTGGG